AGGATGATATATCATGCATTTGATATAAATGCAAGTATCTAGTTTTGTTCAGCGTTCATTTTTGCATGGACTGACATTTAAAAGAAAATTTTTTTGCGCATTTTCTCGATTTTGTAAAAATTTCAATAGCTGAAACCTGAGACTTTGAAACGTTTTGAAAATACATTCCCTGTTAATGATCCGCTTGAACTTTCTCAAACCCCTACATTTGTTTAGAATTTAATTCTCTATTTAATGGCGTTTGAACGAAGTTTCTATGATTCATCGTTGAGGAGTTATTTGAAATTTAAAAAAGTGGAAAATTTAAACTTTAAATGAAAAACAAATACTGACATATTCATCAATATGATTCAGTTATGTGCCTAAATCAAGATAATTGTTCATTTAAGTGTCTAATAATATTTTAATTTCTTCTAATCAATTGCACTACGTAGAAATTTAAATAAAAGCGGAACTGGAAAAAATAACATAAAACATAGAGCGATTTCTGATTAGTTAATCTCGCCAGGATAATATATAATGAAAAAACCCATAACAACTCGTCATTGAATCTTAATGCGCGTTCTTTTGTTCATGCCCGGAACGTTTCTTGACTTCTGCTTTCTTCAGATCAGAGCATGGTTCATGTAATATTTTTTCTTTTATTACGAAATTTTAAAATACTTTTATTCTACTTGTACTTTATGTATAGTTCCGTTTTTCTATGTATTGCAAGGTCAGTGAACTTCGGAAGAACATAGTTAGAAGGACGAGGCAAACAGTCCGATCAAAAATTCTGACGCGAACTATTCTCGTTTCGGAAAGCTGAAAATTGTACACGTTCGGTATGAAATCAGAAATTCCTTTTTTTACAGTATCTGCCGAAAAACTAAAATAGTTGTACTTCTTGCTCAGACCGATAGTTTCTATCTAAGAAAACTTCATCATCAACTTCAAATCATGTCCCAAGATGTCGTTCTATGTCGTGACAGTACTTGCCAATACACTAATTTCCAAATTTCATCTGCTAAACTTCACCCCTCAAGTATAAAAATTGAACTTATATGCGACCAGTATTTTTATCGTTTCAATGTGTATGTGAACTGAATAGTATCTTATTTGAATCCTTAGTAAAACAAGCATCTTTTTTTGAGAAATTACAGGTTGAAGTTATAAAAATACTGGTCGCATATAAGTGTACAGAGGATTCTAGTGCTTATTTCCTAGTGGGAGGTTTGACATCAATTACGTTTGTTAATTTTTAGATTCTGAATCGAATGTTATCATGTCAAGTTTTCAAGGGGGAAAAACCATACTTCTGTACTCCTGGAGTACGCAGAAGTACGGAAGTACCATCAAGTACCAAGAAGTACCGTGAAGTACCGAGAAATACTAAGAGGTATCAAAGGCTTTAAAGTCTTCACTTAGTGATCAATATCTTTATTCAAATGGATCAGATTAAGAAAAAGACACAGAGAAGCAAGCATTGTTATTGATAGATGTTCTTGTTTGTGCAAATATATTGCTAATTATTTTGTTGTTACCGATCCCATGTTAGCGCGAAATATTTTTCGCTTTTGTTGTGGCAGATTGTTCTTTTGTTTCCCAATCAATTTTTATAATTTCTTCTACTGTCGTTCGGTCTGAGATATCGTTGTTCTTTCTTCGCTGTAAAATCGAAATTAGAAGAGCAATCAACGTTGTTTTCTCTTCAGCCTTACTACTACAAAATAAAACGAGTGAGAAGAAAGAGCATCGATAGATTACTTTTGCCAATATTTCGATCATGATTTTTTAAATCTAAGATGAAAACCTGTAACAAAGATTCGATTGATGAATTAGTTCTCATTAATTCTTGCACCAAAGAAGTACGAAGAAATACGAAAAAGTACGAGAAGTATGAGAAGTACGGAAGTATGCTTTTTTCCCCTTGCAAGTTTTACGCAGCCTGACGAACAACAAGGACGTCAGCAAACTATATCAAGTTTTTCACAATTCGATCTACGTTAACGACGTCGACAAATAATTGACCGTGAAGATATAAATCCAGGTAATCGTAAAATACAGTTTCTAACTTTAACCTTGCAGCTAAATGATGCTCTTCTTTAGTAGGCTCGCAAAGTTCATTTCAAGCAAGACGAAGTCGTGGTGGTTGTCGAACAAATACAGTACGTGGTGAAATTCTTCAGAACGAAGCGACTTCTACACAACCGTCAAATTTGAGAGCATTGAAAATGGGTAATGACATGTTACCCGCTCTTAATTCTTCAACAACTTTTCTTTTTCTATTTTAGCTATCGAACATGTGTTATCGCCATATACAGCCGTACTACAAGAGTCAAATTCTTTAATGAAATTACAAATGACCAAAATAGACGAGCTTATCAATACGACAAAAACTTTGTTCCGTCTTCCCAAACAATTAAAAAAGTACCGCAAATGCCGATAATGTTTTAAGAATTGTAAGCCATTCCCTCTCTCAAAAGGCATAATTTATGACTTTTCTTTCTTTTCAAGTCAACAAAATTAGCTGCATCAACTGTACGTTCCAAAGTTGAAGATGAAAAATGCGAAATCGTTAGTGCATTCAACAGCAACATTTAATTGATGCTTAATCTGTTCTTACCCTTCTTTTTCCGTTTAGATAATTAATGGAAGAGACATGAAAATAGCAAAACCTGGAAATTTGTACACGGGCACAGCACGAAACATAGTCCATGCTGCTTATGGTCTAGATGGTACTGGTTTCCATCTGAAGGACTATGAGTTCGACACTTTGTTAGATAACATTTCGCTTTCGGAGGAAAATACTCTGGCTAAACGAGAATGTTTTCAGTTGTAGATACAGTGGCATTTTTACATCGACAACCCTTCGTTGAAGTGTTCGTAAAATAAAACTTATCTGTTTTTCGGTCTAATCGATTCTTTACGCTTATTTGTATCTGAACATCAGCATCTTTCCATCTTGTGTATATAGGAAACATGGCGATGTTGACTTTGAAGTTTGTGATGAACAACTAAATGGATGAACAATAATGGAATTTATTGATTTCAATTTTTCATGGTCATTTTTCTTCAGGCTGCAGAAAAAGAGTATGGGATTTCGGAATAGTAGGTTATGTACCAGGAGCAATTTGTGTCCCATATTGAAATACACATGGCAATATCATTTTTCAAAACTGTTCTCAACGATAAAATGGACCAATAACGCATTCATTTGATTGACAAAAATCTTTTAACAATATCTTGGCATATTTTGTTCATATGAAATATTTAATCGAGAATGGAAAACTGCATCTTTTTTTTGTTGTATTTTCTTTTTCATTTTGATATACTTTTGGGATCCAACGAGACGGTTGTTATTGTCTTTCGCAGTTTATTAGGAAACTTGTATCATGTAAGGATTGGATGCAGGAGGAAAACAGTAGACTTCAAGACTTTAAAGACTTCAGAAGATTGCATCGAACTTTGTGGAATTTTATGAGACTTTGAGACTGAACAGACTTTAATTCCCTAGTGTATGTACTGATTCTTCTTGGCTAAACGTTTGATGTACCTTTTAGTATATTAAGGAACATTTTATCATTGATTTTAATTCTCTGTATGAGGTTGTTCTTTGAAAATGAATGCTTATAGTAGAGGTTTAGTTCTTTCTATTGTGCATTTAGTTTCCACTCTCTTCTTTTCTTAATACGTACAGGTTGATTTTTTTCAACGTTGCATGACTTGCTTACCTTAGCAGTGAAAGAAGGTTAATAAATATGATATTTAATTTTCAACAGAGTGTCGACCTCTTTGTTTTTCTAAAAACAAGAACAACTTTTGACTGAATGTGCTTCAATAGGGATGGTAGCAGAATGTGAACAAGAATGAAGGTGAAAGGTTTAAAACAAGTTTCGAAAAGAATTTTCAGGTTTTCGAAAAATTGGATTTTTATGAAATCTTTTTCTCGAAACTTTAGAACGGTACATAAGGTTTCTTTATCGATTAATGAAGAGCTCTTTCATTTGAGACTAAAACCAAGGTTCTGCGTAGGTGCTTTAGTCAGAACAGAGTGTGCAAAATAGGCCATTTCTGCTGAAAAATGGCAAAATGCACGTTTCTGCTGGAAGAGTAATATGACTATAACTTTTTTCCTAACAAAGTTGTGAACCTGCGAATTTCACCATTCGACTCAGCTTGCCTAGTTCAACGAGGTGAACTAAGTCTCGTCACTAGTGCCTGCGATTAGTGTATGGTGGTAGCTTTCATATGGATAGACCCACTAGCTATAGACTAAGATAAGGCCTTTGTTGTAGAATCTGAAAATCTTACTTAAGAAAAGCTAAAATACGATTCAAAATGGTTCCAGGATAGTTCTCGAAAAGGAACGGTTTTCGACGTTTCTGAACCCTCCTGAATATTTTGAATTTTCTCCGTGAAAACCTGGTCAAAATTAAAAAAGGTCATATTCGTGGTCAGCAGCTCCTGGGAAATCTGAATATATATACTAAAACCAAAAACAACAATGCGTTGTAACTTACTTGAATTAGCGACGTCTTACTATTTTGGATCATTTCATAGCCTTGGCCGTGACGGTCGAATGACACTGGTAAATAGAACTCTCGTGTTCTTCTACATTGCAGAAAATCAACAAGAGAGCAGGACGTCTATTTGAAGAGAAAAAAATATGCTGGCTAAAATACTGACGTTATATTGTTTGCTTTCTTGTTCGTCATCTAGCGACCTGTATTCTATTGTACGTTAAGAGTGATGTGGAAAGAAAAAACACTTTTTTTCTACACTGTCGTCGTTAATATCACTAGTATGAAAGAAAGAATGAAAAAGTAAGTTCATGCTGACAGTGCAGAAATAAACTACATGAAATATAAAAAACATAGTATAGCAAGTAGAATATTTCGAGGTAAGTGCAAAATAAGACAAGTCTTCCATTTATTATAGTTGTAGCGGAATACAACAGGCCATAATGTTGTATCTGATGACAACAACTTTACACCATACTGAACTGATAAAATAAACTACCTTCACTACATGAAGAAAAGGGAGTGAAACGAAAGTCTATATTCGAACTGTTTGAGTAAAAGTGAACGGAAAGAAATATACAGTCCCTAGAAATGTCTGAAGAACAATGATAAATGAACTAGATCTCATCGAGAGGTCAAACCACAATAGCTGTTAAAGAAAATTCTTTCTCTATTGTTGTTAAAAGAAATAGTAAACTATTTTATTTTTTAAGCAATATAGAATGGCGTTTCTCCTAACCTATGTATCTCAGTTCATTATACGTTGCTTTTCTAGATTATAAGCAGAAATACCAACGATGATTCCAGCAACAGCTTACGCAGTCAGTGAAACAGGTGGCAAGTTTGCTCTCTACAATTTTGAACGTCGACAACCAGCTGCAGATGATGTCTTAGTTCGTATACATTACTGTGGTAAGTTTGACGTGAAAAAACAACGCTAGAAAAGTGTTTGCAGATTTTTTTGCCCGTGCCCTTAACCCTTCTGAGGATGCTTGTCCGTGTCTGTCCGTGAATTATTTTCACTGCTCGTGGTTGACCGTGCCCGTCCGTGAAGAGAAAGGGCATTTTTCTCCAGCTGATTGCATATGATAGTTCGTGTATGTATTCTCATCCACGCGTGTATATTATGTTGTACTTTCTGTAGCACGTCTCTAACTGTCTATATTTCATTTACAAAAAATTCAAATCGTCGTACCATTTTGTTGCTCAAAAATTTAAAATATCTTTTTGAGAAGCCCATGCCTGTCGAAGAGAAGCAGTTGCTCGTCTATGCCAGTCCGTGTGTCTTTCAAGCGTTCGTTCAAAGCGTTCTTCGTTTCCACTATTTTAGGTATTTGTCATACAGATATACATGTTGTTAACAATGATTTTGGTATGAGTCAGTATCCAGTGGTAAGGAGGGAGCTAACGCAAATGATGTTAAAAAAGTGCTTTTTTGTCTGTAATAGGTTCCAGGTCATGAAATTGTTGGTGTCGTTGAAAAAGTTGGTGATAAAGTAAAAAAATTTAAAGTTGGGGATTTAGTTGGAATTGGTACACAAGTAGACAGTTGTAGACAATGTAAACCTTGTAAGTAAAACTTTCATTTCTGTATTATAGATATTCTTAATTTCACGCTGGTCTCTTCTTGAAGGTAATAAAGATCTTGAACAGTATTGTGAAAAAGGTTCAAGTCTGACCTATGCAAGTACAGAACAGGATAAAGTTACACGAACACAAGGTGGTTATTCAAATTTAATTACAGTTAAAGAACATTTTGTTTGTAAAGTACCAAAGAATTTGAAACCAGAAGAAATCGGTAAGTTATGTAGTTTACACTTGAAACAGAAATAGACACAAATGACCGGTTTCTCTGGTTTCGTGTTAGGTCCACTGATGTGTGCTGGTATTACAACATATTCGCCATTGAAAAAACATAACGTTGGAAAGGATAGTAAAGTGGCGTAAGTCATTTCTATATTTTGATCTACTTCCTCTACTAAAAAGAAGAGAGAGTCATAGAAGACTATTCGTCCTTCTCTAATACTTTTGTAAAACAAAGAGTAATAATTACAGTCAACGTCAACGTCTGAGCAGTGTCTCATTTTTTAAAATTTTTTTTTTGGAAAATCTTTAGCCTCTATAACTCCCTTGGAACGTCGTAAAACAACTTCGTCAGACAATCTCGTTTTAGCGAGAGCTAATATCAGCACTTTCTTCGAATCATAGCCGATGTTCACTCTAAAAAACCATATTTGGAAACGTAGTCCGTTGCCAGATACATACATCAGATGGTTATCGAGTTTTGAGCTGATACTTCGCCCACAAGTAAGTTTCCATGAGACTAGAAGAGCCCCAAAAAGGGTTTGTACTGCTTTCTACTCCTTGCTGAGTTATCGATTTTTTAGTGAATTTTCTCTGCAGAACTATGGTTTTCAGAAAAATCATTTTCGACTTTTGATCTGAAACTTTGCCCATATGAAGACCTCTGTTAGACTAGCTTGTGTAAAAAGTTTCAAAACTTTTGAACGTAGTCTTTCCGAGATTTGGATTTGCAAAAAATAGGCGCTTTTCCATAGACGTTGTATAGCACATGGATAGTTTGAAAGACCAGTACCTCGGAAAGACTACGTCAAAAGTTTTGAAACTTTGTACACAATCTGGCCTAACAGAAACCTTCATGTGGGCAAAGTCACAGTCAGAAGTCGCAAATGATGATTTTATTGAAAAATTGGGGTTCTGCAGGAAAAGTTCACGAAAAAATCGATAACTCGGCAAGGAGTAAAAAGTAGCACAAACGCTTTAAGGAATTTTCTAGTTTCACCGACACTACTTCTGGGCGAAGTATCAGCTCAAAACTCGATAACCACCTGAATATGTTCCCTCGTTAGTTCAACAGCCGCTCAAACCGTTTTCTAGTCTCATTCTCTTATTTTTCGGCCTCTTGGGAACGGGATACAGCTAGGAACGGTATAAAAGGATATACAGTTTTCAATGCTCTAGCAACTAGTGACGAATTCTCGAACGAAATATGAGTACGACGCTTGGAATATGTTATTTTTTATTATATATATTCAGTGAAATTTTAACTCGTATGTGATTATCTACTTTCTTTGTTGCTCTATAACTATACTGTTTGTACAGAATCGTCGGTCTTGGTGGTCTCGGTCATATGGGTGTTAAATTTGCTGTTGCTTTGGGTGCTGATGTCACTGTCATTTCAACATCGGAATCAAAACGTCAGGATGCTCTGCGTATGGGCGCAAAACATTTTGTGATCTCAAAAGATCCCGAACAATTTGAATCTGTTCAGAATACATTCAACCTGATCTTGGATACAGTCTCTGCTGAACATGATGTCGGAGCCTTGCTTAACCTATTGGCATTCGAAGGTGTCTACTGTATTGTGGGGTACGTAGTTGCTTCATGTGTCCGACTCTTAGACAAAATATGAGAATATTTATTACTGTCTTTTAGTATTCCTGCAAAACCATTGGAAATTCCTGTATTCGCCTTACTTAAGAAACCATTAGTTGTTTGTGGAAGTGGTGTCGGTGGTATGAAGGAGACACAGGAGATGTTAGATTTTTGTGGACAGAAACAGATTACATGTGAGGTCGAACTGATTTCACCGGCAACACCAGAGATCTTGGCTAAAGCTTATGAACGTACATTGAAAGCAGACGTTAAATACCGGTTTGTTATCGACTGTCAAAAGACATTTGCAGAAGCTTCATAATAAGATGGTAAATTACAAACAAAAAGAACCAATGAACAAATGAATACAGAAGGACAAGAACTCAAAATATATTTCTAAAATTTGTTGAATGTATAGCAGTGTGCGTATTTTGGCAGGCAACAATTTTATTTCTGGTTACCCACTCTAAATTGAGAAGATGTTAGGAGTTTTGGGTGGATTGCGGGTATTTTTTGCTGCATACCCATGTGGAAATTTTGATACCCTCCACGATGTGAACACGGGTTGAAACATTTTCCCACGTGTGTACACGGCAAAATAGTCTTGTTTTTCAGAATTCTACGTGCGAAGACGTGTGGAAGATAATTT